CCATAAAATTATTTTCGTTGCTACTTCATAACTGTAATTTTACTACTATTATGAATCAGGCGACCCCTGTGAAAGGGGCTGTCGCCACCCACAGGTTGAGAACTGCTGCCGTCGAGCACAGTTTTAGAAAGGGCAGTCCTAGCTGTTGGCTCACCTTGACCCCTTTTGAAAGTCTTTAAGACCCAGTTTCAGAAAGAGTCCAGTGTAAACAGTGTAACTGTAAGACTATGGGAGTGTGTGTGTGTGTGTGTGTGTGTGTGTGTGGTGGGGGTTGGAGAGGGAGGTGCAGGGGTGAGGGGAGACTCCCCGGAACACCAAGAAGTAAGGCACAAGAAGCATTTCTTGATACATCCTCTGCACGTTCCGCGAGCTCCTCAGGGTGTGGGCTGGGTGCCCAGGACGGCTGGCTCCTGACTAGGGTCAGGCTGCAAGGGAGGAATGGGAGGAGCTGGGGAAATTTTGATAGATGTGTTTGCCCTTCTTTTGGGAGGATGTCCACCCTGTGGAAACAAGTCCGCAGAGCCCGCCAAGAACAAGAACCACAAGGGTGAGCTCTCCCCGAGAGGCCCTCCCACTTTCTCTGTAAAGCTGCTCACAGGAGACTCGGGGAAGTGCGGTGCTCCCACCTACCGTGGCCTTGCCCAGGTAATCCTTCTTCTCCAGCTGAGCCACCTGTCTCTCATTCGGGCGAAACAACCTGCCCGCAGGGATCACCACCGGCTCATAGAGCTTCTGCTTCTGTAACACAGAAGGCAAAGTCTCATCTCCCTCCCGAAGACCAGATAACCTCACCAAAGCACTCTTCTCAGTTTGTACATGGAAATGTTTCCCCGTTTTACAAATATACATATAACAAGATTCTAGATTAATATTGCTGCTTTTAAATAATTGTTTTAACATCAAGTATTTTGTCGTCCCAAAAATGGTGTTGTTGTTTCATTTTGTAACTGGATTTAGATGTTGTTTCATTTTGTAACTGGATTTAGATGGACTATTCACACTTCGTGTTATTTACAACTTCTTTGTTATTACCCAAGGACCGTTACAATTTTTTAAAATGTTCTTTTTGCATGAGTGTGGTCCAATACGTAACAGAAATTTTTACCACTTTAGCCTTTTCTAAGTGTACAATTCAGTGACATGAAGTCCACCCACAGTGTGTGTAACTGTCCCCATTATCTAGTCCAGAACTTTCCACCACCCGAACAGAATCTCTGTGCCCCTAAAGGGGAAGCAGTGAGTTCCCCGTCCCTCGCGTTCCCTGGTCATCTCTCATCGACTTTCTCTCTCTGGATGTCCCTCCTCTAGAGACCTGTACAAGTGGAGTCACGCCGTCTCGCTCCTGTCCCTTGTCTGACTCATTTCACTTAGCGTGATGTCTTAGAAAGACTGCTCCCATCACTATGACCCAGGGAGCTCTCAGGTGGGAATACTCGCCTGATACCGCTTTCCCCTCAGAGTCTGTGTGGACAGCTGTGGGCATTCTTTTTCCGGCGTCCTCTTTCCCTTGGGAAACTGCCAACTGCCCCTCCTCCCATCCTTCAGGTCACCAGCGGGACCGCCCGCCCTTCAGCAGAAGAGGCACAGCAGCAACACAGGACCCAAGCCAGGCGCAGGGCAGTGCTCCCTGGGAAGTGGGGTTTGCTGACGGGGACGGGCTCAGAAAGACTGAACCGGGCCACCTTGTTTCTGGTGTTTAAAACATCTGGTTAAAGTGTATTCTCCAACTTGCTCAGGCAAACCATGAGTCCTCCTCACCACTCAGTCAGTCCGTACGCTGCTGTTGAGACCCTCTACATCCGGCTTTGTTTGAGCTCTAAGTATTCAGTTATCCAGAGAGCCTCGCTGTGGTGCTTAGAAGTTGCTCGATGCCAGCCTGGCCTCCAACGCCCGGGCCCTCCATGCGGCTACGGCGACTCGATCCAAGAGCACTCTGGTACCGAGGACCTGCTCCTCCTCCTTTCCTGTAGTTCAGATCCTAACGGGGCTGACCGAAGGCCAGCGCTACCCAAAACTCAGAGAACTTAAAGCATCGATGTTGTGGGCAGGCCGTGGTGGTGGGTATACGATATTGTGGATATAATTAGTGCCACCAAGTGACAACATATGTACTTAAAATGGTTAGGTGGCAGACTTAATGGTGCATATGTTCTAGAACAGGCGTCCTCAAACTACCGCCCACGGGCCACATGTGGCCCACCAAGGACATTTATCAGACCTGCCGGGTGTTTTTGCCCCATTTGTTTTTTTACTTCAAAATAAGATATGTGCCGTGTGCATAGGAATTTGTTCATAGTTTTTTTTTTTTAACTATAGTCCGGCCCTCCAATGGGTCTGAGGGGCAGTGAGCTGGCCCCCTGTTTAAAAAGTTTGAGGCCCCCTGTTCTAGAGCATTGAAGAAAGCACCCGTGCTGCAGCTTCTCCAGCTGCATGGACCAGGAATCAAGTTCAAACCGGAAGACGTCCTCTCCAGCCCCGTGAGCAGACCCACTCACCCAGATGCAGTCCAAGGCCTTGTCCATTTTGGAGTGTCTGGCCTCCGACTTCATGCTCGTGGCCAGCGTCAGGCTTTCTTCCGCCTCTTTCCACTCTCCCCTTTGGGCGTGCGTGAGCGCAATGTTGTACAGCACCTGGGGAAGCACAGGCACGGCGTGAGCCTGGAAATGGCCTCCAACTGGGGTCCCGAAATCCTCCCATGTGTCCTCTTGGGACCGTGTCTGGGGGTGTTTCTCCTTGTTCCAGCCCTCAAGGGAATCTCTAAGATAAAGTACAGTTGGTTCTGCCACCAAGTTCCATCCAGCCTGGTGTGAGGAAAGTACCAGGCAATGCATAAATCCAATAATGTGTGCGTTCTCGCCACAACCGTGGGACTGGGGAGAGGATATGGCTGATTGTGTTGTTTTAATTTGGAGAAGAGTGACGTGCTCAAGGCCCCTTGAAAAGGCAGAAAGGGCGAGAAATCCGATGCGGACTTACGGCATGTCCGTTCACCTTTTGCATGCGGGTAGGCTACAACACGGGGCAGGTGGTGGGGAGGGAGAGAGTCCAATGCCAACTCAAACATGCACCTGGGACACTTGAGTAGCAAGATTGTCCTGTAGTGATGGGATGAGGGACTCTCTGGGCAAAGTCCAATGGAGTTGGGAAGAGACTTGTCACAAAACCCAGGAAAACGCTTCTTTATGCTGGGGCATAAAGATGGAAATGTAATGAAATCCCATGTCTTGGAATATAATTTTCCAGGCCTTGAACTGGGTAAAAGGTTTATGAATTTATTTTATTATGATGCGTTATGTTTTTAATAAAATCATCTTTGGTATACATCAGGGAGGCTAAGATAAAATTATTTGAGTGGAGAAGCTAAAAAGACTCTTGAGCAAAGGTGAAAAAGCAGTGGGAACAGAAGAGAAAGACAAAGCAGCTAGCGCTCCGCGTTTGCGTCCCTCCCCTGCGAGGAGAGAAGCCACTGCCTCCGACTGTCCTGTCGGGACGGGGTGCCTGGAGAGTGAGTGGAACAGTGCAGCTGCAATAAGCTATCCACAGGTGGAAAGGAGAAGAGTCATTGTCTGAGGCCACGCACGTCAGCAGGGCCTTGACCAGGAGATACAACTGGCCAACTGATACAGCAGAGGGTTGCTGGCCCTCCCCAACCGCATGGCAGCACAGTGGATCGGGTGAGAGCACGGGCTCTCTGGGATGTTTCCTAGTTGGGTGGCCTCAGTCAGCCTCTGTGAAACAGGAAGCCCTGGTAGAGTACTGCATTACGAGTCAGGGTGCTCAATGCAAGATCAGCAGTTCAAACCCACCAGCTGGTCCCTGGAAGAACGATGAGGCTTTTTGCCCCCATAACGATTCACAGCCGCGAAAGCCCCAGGGAGCAGTCCTGCTCTGCCCCACAGGCCCCGGGGGTAGAACTGAATTGACGGCAGTGGGTTTGGCTTTGGTTTATTTTGCTTCATTTTGTTCTCAGCCACCTGCTTTTCAGATCTGTTCATCCCAGCAGGTTTGTATGGCTCAATGATTTAAAAAGTCTAAGACTCTTTCCAAAAGGCTTGTCTGGTTTCTCAGAAGCCCACTGGAGACCGAGAGGAACGTGCGTGCGTAACGGACCCCAAGTCGAGAAATGGCTGGAGGGCTCCACGTGGCAAAGAAGGATCCCATTCTGTCCACTGCGGCCCCGCATAACAAAGTCCACTGGCCTCATGGGGTGTTCTTGGTGTGATCGTTCCAGAAGCAGACCACCCATTCTTTTTCCCATAATGCCAATGGACAGGCTTGAACCGCCAACCTTGCTGTTAGCAGCTGAGTATTTAACTGCCGAACCACCCATGCTCCTCAAAGACCTGGAAAACAGCCTCACTTCCAAAGAGGCCCATGCAGCCTCTACTTGCAGCCCCACATTCTCTATGGCTTTATTATATAT